CATTGTACAGTGGCATTAAGTGCCGAAATGTGCACCTCTGCCTACCTGTTAAGTTATGTTATGTATGTCGAAAGATAAATTTAGGCACTTAATGACCACAAGTACTTAAGTAAATATGAGTACGTACGTATACGGTCGAGCCCCTTTCAGAGATAAGATTATTTCCAAGAATGATTAGATACGCTTATTAAGTCATGACTACAAATAACGAATGGAGTTTCTTGCTCGTTCTTCTCCATTCGAATCTACATTTTGGAATGAGCACCTAGCTTCACCTAGCTTCACTGACGGACTGACTGACAGACTATTATTTATTTTGTATTTGTTGACGTTTCAAAAGTACCAAATTATGGTTTAATTGAAATAAATGCTTTGATTTTGACTTTAAAGTCTTTAAATAGCTGCAGGGATGCTAATATAGAACTTTTTTGTTATTAAAGCATAACGCCCCATTTCTACATAAAGTACCTTGGAGATAAGTATTTGTGGTCTCTACAATGAGCAGTCGAGCTCTACATCATTCCGATTTCACGTTATTTATGACACAATGTGAACTGGTTGAGTACCTACATGGTCATAAAGAGACCACATTCTTTGCAATGAGCGTGTCACAAACCAAACATTAAATCCGATTACAATTTGCGCAACAGATAAGCAGATAGCGGATATGTGTACTTAAGAACATAAACAAAATTATTTAGTTAATATATCGAGGTCACTAATACATAAATACGACTGTGTCATGTCATATCAGGTCAAGGTCGTCTGGACGGTGCGTTCTGCGATTTCACGGAAGCTGACAAAATGGAGTACTTAGAGAGCATTCACAAGTCAGGCGTCGTCAACATTGAGATGGAATCACTTGCATTCGCTGCGCTGACGCACCATGCGGGCATCAAGGCTGCTGTTATATGCGTCACTCTGCTCGATAGACTGAGGGGCGACCAGGTAAATTACTTTTACGTAAAATTGTTAAACTGTAACAACACAGTTACTTAAGTCCTATTGTTCCTTATAGGACTGGTCTACTAAAATTATAAAAGTAAATGAAATATTTTAAAATAAAATATTATGTATTCGATTACAGGTTTTAGCGCCGAAGGAAGTATTGGATGAATGGCAGCAACGACCAACGAAGCTTGTGTGCCGTTACATCAAAAGGTAATGATATCCGCGAAATGGAAAGTGGAGCAGCATGCATGTGTATAAGTACATGTGTCTGTCGTCGGTCGATTGACATGATGTGTGACGTGGCACGAATGCAAGCGAAGTAATAGGTATGTCGAATGACCCTTTGTTCAGTGGATGAAGACACACGAAGAGTGCAGTTGCAATTTGGTTATATCATTGTTTGAGCGCTTAGGTAAAAAATCTTATGTGACTGACTATAGATTCTACTTCTACTCATAGATAGTACCTACCTACTGACCTAATTCTAAGAGAACAGTGATGAGGTTCGGGCTGAAAAGAGTAATGAAACAAAATTAAGGAAACAGATTTTCAAGAACAAATGAAAGGGAATTTCTGAATACTTTTTTTTATGGCATGAGCCGTTAAACGAGCAGACCGATCACCTGATGTTAAGCAATCGGCATCGCCCATGGACACCTGGGATACCAGAGGCGTTACAACTGCGTTACCGGCCTTTTGGGGATTAGGAGTTTGAGGATCGTTGGGGATTCAGGAATTGGGGAGATTGGGGAAGGGGAGGGTAATTGGGCCTCCGGTAATCTCACCGACACGACGAACACAACGCAAGCGTTGCTTCACGTCGGTTTTCTGTGAGGCTGTGGTATCACTCCGGTCGAGCCGGCCCATTCGTGCCGAAGCATGGATCTCCCACACTCAATACTTCTTGAAAAACCAAAGACAAGACTTATATTTTCCTGTAACAGTTGACTTAGAACGAACGAACTCGGTGGGAATTGTAGTTCAAAACTAAAACCGAGATTTATTTATTTTTCTTTATTCAGGAAACAGTCTCTTACAAATAAAATTATTACAATACAGTGTGATACATACAGACCTAGAGTTCCATAAAACAATACAATACGAAAAGGCACTGTTTCTAAAGGTGTCAAATCAGTAGTATACATTAAAAAAAAACACAAGAAAATAATTATAAAGATAGGTAAAGTTTTTAAAATGATATACGAGTTTACATACTTATAAAGCGACCGTGATACAATTCCTTTCCTAGCTCTGAGAATATTTCTGCTTAATTTTAGATTTATAAACATTGAAACTGGTATTAAATATGTCTAGTTCATTTAATTCTTCGTTATAAGTGCAAACACTGCGTTTGAAAAAGTTGTTACTTGTGTATATTGTTCTATAAGAGGGCGCCGAAAATAATGTTCGCAAGCGGGAACCATGTCGGGGCACCCTTAGATATATTATTTCTAATAGTGGGGGTGAGTCAATATAACCATTAATTATTTTAAATAAAAACATTTGATCAATGTATTTTCTTCTGTCAGAGAGCAATGACAAATTGTGGTATCTTAAAGAGGTCTCATAAGATACATGAGGGTGACAGCAGCGGTAATCTAAACATTTAATGAATTTCTTTTGAATATTTTCAATTCTAGTTATGTGACATGCATAATAGGGGCTCCAGATGATACATGCAAAATCTAATAGAGAACGTACAAAACTAAAGTAAAGTAACTTTAAAGTACTAGCTCGTTTAAATGGCTTTGAAATTCTTGTAATGAAACCAAGCTGCCTGTACGACTTCTTGATCACATGATCGATATGTAAGTTAAATGAGAGTTGTGAGTCCATCAAGACACCCAAATCACGAACCGAGTAAACTCGACTAAGGGATTCACCGTTAACATGGTAGTTATAATTTACAGGGGTACGGTTTCGAGTGTATGTGATGATGGAGCACTTATTTAAGTTTAAGTAAAGTTGATTCATAGAGCAATAACTAAAGAGCCCATCGAGATCGGACTGTAACTGTAAACAGCAGTCCACTCCAGAAACAATCCTAAAGAACTTGGCGTCATCTGCATATAAAAGAAAATTAGATTTTTTAAGGATATCTCCGATGTCATTAATATAAAGAATAAATAACAATGGCCCCAGATGTGATCCTTGGGGAATACCAGATGGGATCTCCAGGAAACTAGAAGTGTAACCCTTTAGGAATACGGCTTGAGAGCGATTTTTTATGTATGAGCTAATCCAACGAAGCAAATCACCATGTACTCCAATTCTCCAAAGCTTCTCAATAAGCATATCGTGATTGATTTTGTCAAAAGCTTTAGAGAAGTCCGTGTAAACAACGTCCACTTGAAGTCGCTTATCCATAGCATTGACTAGGTAATCGGTAAAATCAAGCAGATTAGTTTCCACAGACCGACCTTTACAGAAGCCGTGCTGGTTTGGGGATATATGACGCTGTAACAATCGTGAGAGCTCACTCGCTACAATTTTTTCTAAAATTTTTCCAAGTAGGTTAAGTTTGCTTATCGGTCTGTATTGCGTTACATCGTCTCGTCTATCACCTTTCGGGATTGGAGTAACTAAAGCTTGTTTCCATATTGTAGGAAAAATACCATCACGTAGTGATTTAGTATAGATCATAGTTAGCGGTGGGAATAACTCAGTTGCACATTTTCGGATAAACAATGGATGAATACCATCATAGCCAGCTCCTTTATTGGGATCGATGGCTTTAAGCTCTTTATAAATACGATTCTCGGTCACGGTTAATACATTAATTTGTGCTTGAGAGTTCAAAGGGGGATTATCAAAATCAAAATTTACATGAATGAGATATTTTGATATTTTCTGGTAACGGTTGAAATTTAGTTTGTAATAAATTGTACTTATTGTGAGATTTGCAAGTAGGTAAGGCAATATTTTCTAAAGAAAAAGAGTTTTGTTTAACACGTAAATTGTTTACCATTTCCAGATATCTTCAGATGAAGGGTCGGCTGTCGCTGGACGGACACGGATCCATTGCAGTGAAGAGCCCTCGCCGGTTCAAGCTGGTGCAGCAGGAGTCTGAGAACTACGACTAGAGTGTGGCTAGTCACCGCCCACCATGGAATTTCCAGAACAGCGATGGAATTGGGTTTGCACTAGTTCGGAGCCATCTGTGCTGATCGCTCAAATGTTTACTACGCTCCAACTTTACCTACTTCTTTAGTTTCTATTTTATATGTTTGTTACTTCACATCTTCGAAAACATATATTTTTTCGACTACTTTTGAAAGTGTACCAAAAATCTGGATATTTTTAAGTAGGATCGTTGACGATTTTGTCAAAAGTAAAGATTTGGTCAGATTTATTTGTGTAGGCACGGAATCGAATATTGCTGTGTATGTATTTGGTTGGATAGTGACTCAGAATCTTTCATCTTTTATGAAAATTAAAAGAATAGCAGAAGCACTGTACTGCCACAATATGGTTTTTTTCATGTTGACAAAAAAGCGAACATTATCTATGTTACATTTAACTTAGGCCTTAGGCTATGCTTTATGCACGTTGTAACTAAAATATTATTTGGAACTTCCTAATTACTTAATTCGAATCTGAGATAAAATACCTTAGCAAGTTAATAACCAATTCTTGTTACTTGTTATAAAAAGACAAAATAAAGATATTAGTGAGTAGGCAAGCTACTTATCGAAATATGTGATGACACTTAATTAGTGGTGGATTATTGATGGCCAGGACGTCAATGTTTTAACTTAAACGTCTCACTACTTGTTATTTTATTCCTGTTGATACCTTTCAGGTTTTTTTCATGATACATATCTATTGAATTATACTTACTTTATTATTGAAATATTTTCGTTGATGTACCCAATGCAATGTTGTCATCAATTTTCAGATCAGCTGGCATTTGGGTGGAATTATAGGGTAATGTTTGTTTTTATTAATCCTAGTTGTTCCTCGTGTGCTTATAGGCTGAGTCACGGTATGAACGAATCGAAGTGCGTTGCTAAATGCTATGAATGCATTATTTTAATATTTTAAAGCTAGGTACAATTGTACAAAGGTGTTCGTTTGGTTATGTTGTTGCACAAACTGTATTAGCGACAAATGTGATAATATTTGGCAGTAGTGTAATGTAAGGACCACGACAAACGTTCAGATTCTTTGTCGGCGATGTTCGTCCTCCTTCAGACCTTCGCATTACTTTCACACCTTGCACGGTGACAGCTTGGAAGTTGGACATGAACAAGTGCCTCTACTTACATACTCATTAATATTCTTGACAGTGGCACTGAAAGGTTGTCTGCGTTAATGAAATATTGTTCTAATATCACTTGTGACGGAAGTGAAGGTAAACTTGTTATATGGCATTTATATTAATATGTAGGCGCCTGCTCGGCCAGCAACCAGTGTCACGTACTATCACTTGTATTTACTGCACTTGTGCCTGCGAATGTTCACATGTCAATAAATCACTTGTATTTTAAAAGGACAACTGTTTATATCACTAGCCTGTTTTTAAATCTGCATCGCCATCAGACAATCGTACGTTTGTTCTATTGATTTATTGTGCTTCCACGAATGGTTATTGTTGATAATTTATGCACGAAGCGTTGTCAACATGCTTTATATGTTACAAGATATAAGTATATCTAGAATAAGATATTCCAGTTATCTACGTTGATGTAGTTTTCATATTATAAGATTATCTGATAATAAGAATGTTATCATTAAAATTAATCAGCTTACTATAAGGTTTAAGAGTAATTATTATTTTTATTTATTTATTATGAAATGACCAAATCTTATCTCAGCCCGATGCGTTACATCGGGGATGTCACTCAAGTAACTTGTGCGTCAGGCTAAAGTTTTGCAGACGTAAGCAAGTTTATTGTTAATCATGATAGTGATAAGGCCAACGCTACGATACGATAAAATTAAATTATTATTAGAATAATCATGATAGTCCTAATTATAGCGTTGTACTAAATGTATTTAGTTCATATTTAGCCTCTTGAGTGCATCGATATGAGACACAATAGAAAATACATTGTCTCGCGTGGATCCGCGTTATAGACACACGAAAGGTTAAATAACATTATACAACTGTAGTTCAATTTATAGAGTTATTTTGTTGATGTTACAATTTAAACATATCTTACTATATATATATATATATATATATATATTTACATCCTAGAATCTTTTTGGCGTCATGCACGTCGCGCAACATTATGACGTCCCCCAGTTCCCCTTAACTTTTTTCATATGTCTTGATGAATATTGCTTAGTTATTCGATTTCCAGCTTCGTAGGATACGTCATTTTCCGATAATTTTATTTTTCACGATATTCTTCTTGCAGTCATGCTGCAACATTTTTGAACCCCAAACAATGGTGATAACAAATTGGGCTCCTAGATATATTGATCGTGATTTAACCATGGCATCGGCTAATTAACGTCCCCACACCGTGGATGGTATTTGCGAGTGCAACGTTGCCAGCTTTGTGTTCACTTGTCTCTTTCTTTTACTATCACTCGTCTGGTAGTACAAAATTTCAACATTATTCCAATATTCACAAAAATTATCGATACATAATTATATCAATGCCCGGATTTGATATAATAATGTTATCTACTAGTAGGTGCCTACTTTATAATTATTATACTACCTATCAATATTGATGGAATGAGCAAGATGAATTAATTGAATTTAATTGGTACATCAGATAGTGTAAGATAAGATGAAAAAATTTGAGGATCCTGATAAATGACATGGTAATGGCAGGAGTCTCTTGCGGAGGCTGACGAAGGATATGCGCGCGAAGAATGTTTCTTCCTCAGCAGGTATCATGTAAGATCACCTAGCTATCGAACGTCCGTATATTGCTATTGGGCGTCCGTATATAGCTATTGAACGTCCATATATAGCTATTGGGCGTCCGTATATA